AACTATTACTCTAGTAACTATAAAAACTACGCCATAGGTAGCCACCTTTATGGTAGGTACTATAAGGTCTAGCTATAGGCAATAGTATTTACTTTACGCTAGGATTAATAGTGAAAGGATAACTTAATGGCATTAAATAAATAATACTTAACTTCCCTAAAGCCGGTATACGGCACGGGGTATACGTAGCCAACTTACTTAGCACACTAGGACTCTATTAGGCCTTAGCACCATATGCCACAACACTATAACAAACTTCGCGATCTACTCGTTATATAGGGGGTACTAAGCTAGCGCATGGGGTTCCGAGACACCCGGGGATATGAGACACCGCGCAGAAATCCTCCACCCTTCAAACAATCGCGATATCTCCACATCCACCCTGCCAAAATGGCCAACCGTGAGGCTGCATTTCAAGCAGCTATTAGTGATCTTAATGCTGGCGTTTTTCCTAGTCAACGAGCTGCTGCAAAGGCATACAACATCCCCCTAGCCACGCTCTCTAGGCGCGTACGCGGTTCACAAAACTGGCAAAACAGCCACATACACCAGCAACGATTGACTCCATAACAAGAGGACTTTCTCGTACAATGGATACTTGAAGAGGACGCGCGCGGGTTTCCTCCTTCTCACGCTCGTACACGAGAAATGGCGAATCGAATCCTTAGGATGAACGGCGACCACGCGTTAGTGGGTAAACACTGGATATCCTACTTTATTAAACGCAACCCACGCGTTGCCTCTATGATAGGTAGAAAGATTGAGGCTGCAAGAGCTGAGGGAGCAACTTAGGAGGCAATACGCGAGTTTCTTCAGCTCTATAAGCAGCTCCGTGTTAAGCTGGGTATACACAATGAGGATACATGGAATATGGATGAGACTAGGAAGGCCCTAGGTGTATGTGCAAACACTAGAGTACTCACAGGAAGTCAGAAAAAGAAGGCTTACTATCAGTCTCTAGAGAATTACGAGTGGGCGTTGATAATTGAGTGTATTTTAGCAATAGGCAAGAAGCTAAGGCCTACAGTTATTTTTAAAGGCAAAAACCTATAGAGCACCTAGTTTCCATTAATAATACCCGACTGGCTATACGCAACATCAGAGAATGGCTAGACATCTAATGTGATTGGTACTAAGTGGTTACAACGCATATTCCTACCAGATACTACGCCCTCAGAGGATCGCTGGAGGATACTGATTTTGGATGGCCACGGCAGCCATATTAACCTAGAGTTCCTGTGGATCTGCAAGCAGAATAAAGTCAGGCTTTTATTTCTCCCTACTCACTCATCTCACGTTCTACAGCCCCTAGATCTCTCTATTTTCTTAGTAGTGAAGCGATTCTATCGCTAGTAGATCCAGGAGTTATCACACCTTAATAATACCGCCCCAGTTAGAAAGGAACGCTTTATTACTACCTACCATATCGCTAGAGAGGGCGTAATCACTAAGAGAGTTATTCGCGCTGGATAGGCTACTACAGGTATCTGCCCGTTGAATATTGAGCGGGTAGTCAACTCATCTCAAGTTGCTTAAAGGGCTACCACTCCACCTCGCCAGGATCAAGCTTATCTCGCTGAGAGCTATCTATCTACCCCTTACGGCCCCCGTCAGCTTTTTATAGCCCAGCGAGCGCTTCACAGAGAGCAGAGTATCAGCCAAAAGGCTCATCAGCTCTTTGAGAAAGCAGGCAAGGCAATTGCAATAGCAAATACACGCTTAGCAGCGCTAGAAGCAGAGAATAAAAGATTACAGAGTCAAATTAAGGCTCTTAAGCCTCTGCAGCCACGAAAGAAAGTTCGTATAGATCTAAATCAACGCTTTGCTAGTATAGATCAAATTATGATAGCAAAGCAGGCATCTGCCCTTCTAGAGCAACAAAACAGTAGTCCTGATAAAGAAAAAGAGGCAGAAAAGCTAGCAGCAGAAGTAGCAGCCAAAACCCTACAATCTATATGTAGTGAGTGGCAATTGTAGTTATGCTGAATCAATTATCGCGATTTTTTGAGGGGTGAAGGATTTCTGCGCGGTGTCTCATATCCCCGGGTGTCTCAGAACCCCATGCGCTAGCTTATTATAGTATCTCTAGTATCTATAATACCTTAGCTACGCCGTTACTAAGTACCTATATACGTGCCTCCTCTTCCCCCTTATCTTCTACCTACTCGACGCATAGCTTACTTCTTACCTATCCTCTTATATTATACCTAAGCATGTACGTAGTAGCTTATTAATTAAGCTTCGTCTGAGTTCCAATTCTATAAGTCATAGCCTCTCGTGATATATATTAGATATAAGGGCGTGTACTAAGTATCTTACTATTATTAGATAAGGGCCTATGAAGTTGCCTTAGTACGGACAGTACTCCGGGCAGGTGGTAGGGATAGCTGGCCATCCGCCCTTGCTAGACACCTAGCCCCAAAGCAAGGGATAGTTAATAGGAACCTAATAAAAGCTGGCAGAACACACGTATATAATAATAATTAATCTATCCATCTCATCTCTAGATCACCAACATCCATCAAATCACTATATAAATCTAACAATTAAGAGTCTTACTACCT